TAAGGGGCTGGGGTTGTGGCTCATTGGTAGAGTGCTTGCCTAGCATGCATGAGGCATTGGGTTCAATCCTCAGCAACACATAAAAATAAAATAAAAATAAAGGTTATTGTGTCTACCTACAATTAAAACAAATATTTAAAAAAAAAAAAAGCTCTAGTCTAAGTCATATATGAATGGCTTTTCCTCGGCAACACTTTGCATGTTGTGCAACCCTTTGGTAGACACGTGTATTCTGTGGTGTGTCTTTTAACAATCCCCCCTCCCCTAGTAGTCTGATAAACTTTTATGAATTTCAATACCTGATGCAAAACTCTTTATAAGATACCATGAAGATGAAAAAATAATGTTAATTAAGTTAACTAAATGATTAAAACAAATGATAGGATGTTACACATTAGAATAGCAGTTAAAGGCTGACAATCTAAAAAAAAAACCAACAAAAATTGTATGATATTCAAAGAACATCATAGGTTAAAAAAGCAAAAAAATATATAACTGAAGCCCACAAAGGAGCAAAACCCCACTAATTTTCAGTTATAATTTCTTACTTAAAAATAAGCACAAGGGGGCTGGGGTTGTACCTCAGTGGTAGAGCTCTTGCCTTGCACGTGTGAGGCCCTCAGTTCAATCCTCAGCACCACATAAAAATACACAAATAAAAATAAAGATACTGTGTCCATCTACATCTATAAAAGAAAATTTAAAAAAATTTAAAAAAGCACAAGGGGCTTGGGTTGTAGCCCAGTGGTATAGCATTTACCTAGCATGTGTAAAACACTGGGTTCAATTCTCAGCACCACATATAAGTAAATAAAATAAAGGTCCATTGACAACTAAAAAAATATTTAATAAAAAAAAGCACAAAATAAAATAACTATGCAATTGAGCTCTTAACTCTGTAGGAACACAAGACCTGAGAATTACAAATTAATACTTCCACTACAATATTATATCTAGTTCTGATCTTCACATCTGTGAAAACAAAAAATTCAGAGTACAGCAAATTATTAAAGAATGAAGGATCAAGAAAAAATTAGGTGGGGAGGTGGATTTTTTTTTTCACAGAGCAATCAGTAAAACTTTCAGCCCAGTAATGTTAACAATAAAGCTAAAATCTGTTTTTGCATCACTAGTGATTTTAAGGAATATGAAAGAAGGGGGAAAATGGAGATGATGGGAAAAACAAGACAAATAACATGCAAAACTGTAAATAAGTTTGTTTTACATCTTTAGAGAATAGCATGGTGAACTATTTTAAAAATGTCTCGGGATATTATCCTATTGTTATATTGTATTATACAGGTGGCCTTCAACATCCATTGGTAATACAATGGTTATCCAATCCAATGATTATGAAAACCTTCCCATCCCACACCAGATACGAAAATCCATAGATGCTCAAGTCCCTTAGACGGAATGGTGCAGAATTCACATATAATCATCACATATACTTCCATATACTTCAATCATCCCTAATAGAAGAATTGAAATGCTATGCAAACAGTTGTTATGATGTGTTATGGAATAATGACAAAGAAAAAAGTTTACATGCTTGCTACAGATGTAATTTTTTTTCTCAAATATTGCTGACCAGTTGGTTCAATCAATGGATTCAGAACCCAGAGATATAGAAGACTACAGTACTTTTACAGTGTTTACTTCCATCAATCCAACAATACCTGCTTTTCAAACGGAAGGACAGACACCAAAATCATCATCCCCTTTATATCCACAAAAATTAAAGGCTTTAAGTTATGAACAAAGGATTAAGATATTTCAAAAACAACACTGAGGAGGGTAGAGAGGTATGTGCTAGAGAAGCTAGAGGAAAGAAACACCTCTTGATGTAAATAATATATATTTGCTTTAAAGAACAAGTATAATTCCAGACAAAGAAAATATCAGTATGAGGCTGGGGATATAGCTCAGCTGGTAGAGTGCTTGCCTCCCATGCACAGGCCCCAAGTTCAATCCCCAGCACCACAAGAAACAAACAACAAAAACCTTTTTCATTGCTGGTCAGACTGCAGATTGCTGCAACCAATATGGAAAGCAGTGTGGAGATTCCTTAGAATACTTGGAATGGAATCACCATTTGACCCAGCTATCCCACTCCTTGGTCTATACCCAAAGGACTTAAAAACAGCCTACTATAGTGACATAGCCACATCAATGTTCATAGCAACAAAATCCACAATAGCCAAACTGTGGAACCAACATACATGCCCTTCAATACATAAATGGATAAAGAAACTAGTATATAAACACAAGGGACTATTACTCAACAATAAAAGAATAAAATTATGGCATTTGCAGGTAAATGGATGGAATTAGAGAATATCATGCTAAACGAAGTAAGCTAATCCCCACAAACTAAGGGCCAAATATTTTCTGATAAGTGGATAATAATCCATACTGGGGGCAGGGGCATAGAAGGAAAGATGGTGGAATGAGAAGGACATCATTACCTTAGGTACACATAGTATTGCATGAATGGTGTGACCCTACTGTGAGTACAAGCAGAAAAGTCAAAAATTGTGCTCCATTTGTAATATAATGAATCAAAGAGCATTCTGCTGTCATGTCACTGATTAGAACAAAAGTTTAAAAAAAAAAAAAGAATACAAGTAACAATGTTGGTGAGGACGTGGGGAAAATATACATGCATACATTGCTAATGGGACTGCAAATTGGTACAATCACTCCTGAAAGCACTATAGTTCCTCAGAAAACTTGCAATGGAACCACTATTTGACTCAGTTATACCACCCCTCAGCATTTACCCAAAGGATTGAAAATCAGCATATTACAGTGACATAGCCACATCAATGGTCATAGCAGCTCAATTCTCAATAGCTAAGCTATGGATCCAGCTTAAGTGCCCTTCAACGGACGATCACCAAAGAAAATATTGTATATATACACAAGAGAATATTACTCAGCCATAAAGAAGAATGAAATTATGGTACTTGAGGGTAAATGGATAGAAGTGGAGACTTTCATGTTAAGTGAAAGGAGCCACTCCAAAAAAAACCAAAGGCCAAATGTTCTCTCTGATATGCAGATGCTAACTCACAATAGGCAGTGGTGGAGATCAAGAAGGGGAGGTTTACTGAATTGGACTGGGGAGTCAGGGTTGGAGGGGGAATGGGAAAGACAGTAGAATGAATTGAACATAGCTTTCCTATGTTCATATATGAATACATGACCAGTATAACTCCACACCATGTATAGCCACAAAAATGGGAAGTTATATTCCATGTTTGTATGATATGCCAAAACATATACTACTGTCACGTTTTACTAAAAAGAACAAATTAAAAAAGAGAAATTAAAAAATAAAAATAATATTTAAAAAAATTTCAGTATGAGAGAAAACAAGGGAAAGGCTTGCAAACTTCAAGTTGATATGATAGGCAGAATGGAAACCTAATCTCTGGCTACTCTGGTGAATTATGATACATAGCAAAAAGGACTTTCAGAGATGTTAATAAGGTTATGGCTCTTAAGATACTGAGACTATTCCTGAACCTAACTAATTACATGAGTAGAAAGTTTCCTCTAGTTATGGTTAGAGAAATGTAGCCACAGCAGAAGTCAAAGAGATTTAAAGCATATGAGACCTGATTCATTGTTGCCATAGGAGACCAAGAGGAAAGCATGAGTAGGAATAAGAAGTCTAGAGAGGTGAAGACTGGTCTTGACAGCAGGAAAATGAAACTGTAGTCCAGCATCAACAAGGAATTGAATTTGGCCAAGAATATGAATGTGTGGAAGCAGATCGTCCCTAGCATCTCCAGAGAGAATATGCCCAGTCAATACCTAGATTTGAACCATATCAGACTGTCAGCAGAGAAGAACCCACCCAGATTTCTGACCTATAGAAAACTATAACATGAATAATTTGTGTTATTTAAAGTGGCTTAGTTTGTGGCATTGTGTTTATATATTTATTGTGTCTGGCTTTAACCTAGAGGCCCTCTAACATCAAGCCATATCCCCAGTCCATTAACAAAAAAAAAAAAAAAAATATATATATATATATATATATATATATATATACTTATAAAATTATATATAAAATATATATATAAATATATATATGTATACCTATTTATTTATATTTTATGACTATTTATTTATTTTTTATATAATGCTGAGGATCAAACCCAGTGCCTCCCCCGTGCTAGGCAAGCACTCTTGTCAGGTTGCTGAGGCTGGCCTTGAACTTGCTATCCTCCTCCTCAGTCTCCTAAATTGCCAGATTACAGCTGTTTGTGGTATTTGTTAAGGCAGGCAAGAAAACCAATAGAGGTACATGTATGTCACAATGTCTTCCACAATTTTGTAATTACAATGTGCCAATTAAAAATTAATTTTAAAAAAGAAAATTAACATAGATGTCAAGCTCTAAGAACAAATATATTTCAAGTAGCGAGAACAAAGAATGTTTAAGAAAGGAGGTAGGGATGAATTTACTAAGGCAGACAGGGTTTAAGTTGTAGGAAATCTAAGACTTCATTATTATTATGTGAGCCATGGAGAGGTGCTGAAACTTTGTTTAAAGTGAGAGACATAATAAATGGTAGTGATGTTAAGTGGGGATCAGAAGGAGACGAAAGGCATAGATATTTGTTAGTTTTCTATGAACATACTAGATAACAGATAAGAATGTAAATGAAATCAATGAGAATAAAAAAAAATGCTTTTGAGTTACTGCATTTTACTGAAGTAAAAACACAGTCTAGGATCCTGATTCATGTTGAAGATGATAGACTAGTGAGGTACGATTCAAAGTACTTTACCTTAAGTGATGTGGTAGATGATTATGTTCACCAATCAAAATAAAGAGCACCCAAAAAAGCATATTTTTAGTAGGCTAAAAACAGGCAGTAAAGGGGAAAACATATTTCTCAAGTTTTGAAATAATGGAGAACAAAAACAACAATTTTAAAGCAGCAGGTAAACAAAAGCAGCATCTTTTTGTCAGGGTTTATTACCTCTACTATTGCTTTCTGGATAGGCAAGGGTAGGCTTATTTGGAGAGCGTCGTAGATCACTATTAAGGAAAGGCTTATCAGATGGATATGATACATAAGGAGATGAAGAATGGCGAACCACACCCCTATTAGACCTTGATGGTTCAGCTGAGATGTTCTGAAAAATAAAAATACAGAAATTACTTTTCAAAAATTGAAACCATATTCATGACTTAAAAATTGAACTGTCTATATATTCTTCTGATAAGAGACAATGGGAAAAAAGAGCCCAATAACTATACACAGTAGAATTCAACCATCATTTATTTTAAGGAAATACAACTTTAAAAGTTTCATATTTGTCTAAATGTAGCCATATGCCCAACACTACAAAGAATACTCTCACAATCTAAATACAAACACTGTACAGAAAAAATAATGGTACTCAACAAATATTGTATCTTAAGTATATACCATGAAACATACATTCAGAAAAGTAAATATACAGAATGAGAGATTGCTACAAATTACTCTATTCTCAAATGCAACAAAATACTTCTTAAATATTTTAGTGTCCAAAACTTAAAAAAAAGAAAAAGAGATATTGTCCTTGCCTCAAAGGACTTATTTTAGTTAGAAAACAGGGAAATAATCAGAAAACATAAAGACTTACCAACATTCATATATAAAACTTTATTTCCACACATACATCATCTGTCATGAATGGAATTCTAACAAATTTAGGATTATGTTCCATATGATATGAAAATTATATCAGAAAATTATATGATATTATATTAGAAGATAATGATGGACTTTCTTTGATACAGTGGAGAAAATAATCAAAAAGTTGAAGTCTATGGTAGAAGTTGTGACTATGACTGTTCTAAATTATCAAACATCCATTTTTCTTTTTTCAACTGCCACAGCAAAGTCTTACCTTTTGAGAACTGCACTTTATAGAGTACTAAATAATCTGTGTTCAGAAAAGCACAAAGGAACAATAAATATTGACAATAACAATAAACAACTTGTGGAACAGACAAACGCTATCAAAATACATATATTTAAATGTTACTAAAACCAAAGATTCTACTTTCATGTTAGAAATCACATAAATTCCCAGTTGGTTTACAACAGGAAATATAAAACATACACTATTGCTGTGAAAACAAGAAGGTAAATAATATGATCAAGGTGAAGATATTCTAGAAATGAAAAACTAGATTGCATTATAATATCTTTCAATGTAATCCACCTCATTCAAGTAAAAATCCACATGATCAACAAGTATGAGAGCATTGAATAACATTCATTATCCAGCAAAGAATATTTTATGGCAATATAAAACTTCATCAAAAACCATGGCAAACATACTTCATTTTGCAAAATTTGAAACATTCCTTTTAAAACCAAAAACAAAACAAAGCCCTCTGCACAACTTCTAGTTGATGTTCTTAATACTAAATTGCATCTCTTAAATTTAAGCATATTAGGATAGCGAAAAGAACAGATACTACAATTGAAAAGAAAGAATCCAAACTTCACAGATTATGATTCTCTAAATAAAAAACACCAAAGAATACTAAATTATTAGAATTAATTTGAGCCTGGAAAGGTTACTAGGTAAAATTCATGTACAAGAATCAGTAATTCTATACATTAGTTGGAAAATGCAACTTAAGAAAGCACAGGTCATACAATAAAAAAGTTAACTAGAATTAATGTTCGGAAAAAAGATTCAGTATACTTCAAAATATCAGATTAAAACAGAAATTCAATGAAATTTCAATTAAAATTCCAAAAACAAGTTCAACTATTTCTATTGAAGAAAAGCAAAGACCAAGAATACTAACATTTCTCTTAAGAACAAAGAAGATAACCTCCCCTCACTCCCAACTATGTAGAAAGGAGAATCACTAAGACAGTGAGTATCTAGAAAGAAAAAACAAAACAACAACAAAAAAGGGCAAAGCACCCTAACAAACTAATAAAAACATGGAAATTAATATACTCACAGAGCTAAAATTGTGGACCTTTGGGGAAAGGTTAACTTTTTAACAAGTAGTTCCAGGACAATTGTTTCGTCTTAAATAAAACATTAAATTAAATAAATTTCAAGTAAATTAGGATTTAAAAGCTCCAAATTTAAAATGTATAGTGAATAATTTAGAATAATACCATTAAGATCTTAGAATGAACGAAGAATTTTTCAAATCACTAATTGTAGAAAGGAATGACTGACAAATTTTACCACTTTAGTATTAAGTATTAATCAAAAAATACCAAAGACAAGCAAAGATGTCTTTGGACTAGTCCTATCAGAGTGAGGATTAACATTCAGAACACAAATGAGTATACATCAATAAGAAAAAACAGCCCGGTAAAAAATAGGCAAAAGATATGGATGGGCATTTCATAAAAGAAAAACACACAAAAGACTAGCAAAAAAGGTATGAGAAAAAAGGTGCATTCTCATCAATGACTAGGGAAGCATAAATTAGAAAGAGAATAGGATAACATTTTATAACTTACCCCTTAGAAAAAATTTACAAGTAGAATAATACTACCCATTAAAGGGGACACAGAATAAAGAGGACTGTTGGTTGGCATATACATAGAAAAACAATTTAGCATGAGTAAGCCAAAGTTGTACCTATTCTATGATAAATCAATTTCACTCACAAGTACACCTACTGAACTATTTTCATTCTCTCATTTTTGAAAATGACAAAGCATAAACCAAACACATATTTTATAAGCCTGTATTGAGGTCTAACCCACATGCCAATCTGCAAGTTGCCCCTCTCAAACTTTTTGTTTCGCATTTGGTATATTTTGGTTGACATATGTGAAGCAAACCTAGCATTGCACAAACACGTACTTGAATAAGAAAGAATCTTGTAGACTCCCTGAGAACCCTGTAGAGACCCGCCTAAAGTTCCCTAGATCACTTCCAAAACTGCTGCTTTAGAGAAATTTTTGCCATGTTGAGCATTAAGGATTTCAAGATTGTTATAATATCTAACAAACAAAAAAACCCAAAGACCCCCAAAGCCTATCAAGATACTACATAGTAGTATAAATGAGATGAACTCTTACCCTTGACTAACTTCATGCATTACTTTGCCCATTTGAAAATGTAAATATGTCAACCCCACAAGGTTACTGTGAGAATTATATGATTTCATATATGAAAAATGCTTAAAATAATGCCTGTCAGTATCATCTAAGTATTAAATATTATGGTCTTAGAAAGTACAGTAGTGTGGGATGGAAGAACGGAAAGATTAAAAAAAAGGCAGGGAAGCATTCACTTTATTATCCCCCAAAATAAAATATATCTTAAAATATATTTCATATTATAAAATCTATGATATATTAAAAAAATTATGGAAATTAATATGAAGCTACTGTGTTGCTTGGTTAAAGGACGGGACTAAAAAGCTTAAGACAAATTAGGAGATTAATTTATTAAGTCCAAAGTGACATAAGGGTGTTACACATGGATTAAGAAAATATTAACAGACGGCCTGAACAGACACTTCTCAGAAGAGGATATATAATCAATCAACAAATATATGAAAAAATGTTCATCATCTCCAGCAATTCGAGAAATGCAAATCAAAACTATTCTAAGATTTCATCTCACTCCAGTCAGAATGGCAGCTACTATGCAGACAAACAACACTAAGTGTTGGAGAGGATGTGGGGGAAAAGGTACACTTATACATTGCTGGTGGGACTGCAAATTGGTGCAGCCAATATGGAAAGCAGCATGGAGATTCCTTGGAAAACTTGAATGAAACCACCATTTGACCCAGCTTTCCCTCTCCTTGGTCTATACCCAGCATACTATAGGGACACAGCCACATCAATGTTTATAACAACACAATTCATAATAGCCAAACTGTGGAACCAACCTAGATGCCCTTCACAAGATGAATGAATAAGAAAAATGTGGCATATATATATAATGGAATAGTACTCAGTAATAAAAGATCATAAAATCATGGCATTTGCAGGTAAATGGATGGAGCTGGAGACGATAATGCTAAGTGAAGTTAGCCACTCCCCAAAAAACAAATGCTGAATGTTTTCTCTGATATAAGGAGACTGATTCATAGTGGGATAGGGAGGGGGAAATAGACAAACTCTAGATAGGGCAGAGGGGTGGAAGGGAAAGGAAGGGACAAGGGGTTAGCAATGATGGTGCAATGTGATGGACAACATTATCCAAAGTACATGTATGAAAACATGAATTGGTGTGAACATACTTTATGTATAATATGAATTGTAATGCATTCTGTTGTCATTTATTAAAAATCAATAAAAATAAATGAATAAATTTAAAAAAGTTAACAGATGGAACATAAAGTCATTTTGCTGTTTCAACACTATGTTATATACCTTTACTTAGTATTAATTTCATTAAGCCCAATTATGTTGTATTCCTGTTGTCTCTTAACAGTGAGTTGATAACAAACAATAAATGTTACCTGCTGTTGCTAATCTTGCTGTTGCTGCAATGAAAAAAAAAACTCCAAAAAGACTGACTACTGCTTTCATGTTGTCAATGTTTGAGATTTATATGGTAGCTGCTTTCTAAAGATTATTATTTGTGTAAAACATCTCCATTTATTGTAATTATTTTGGTATTGGGTTTATCAATGTAAAACATACAAATTGTTAATATTCACAACCCTGACATCTTAATGAGTAGCCTTCTGGTTTTATGTTGTAGTTTTAAAGTTTTCTAATATCATATTACTTATTATCGGCTGTTTGATAATCTAAAGTGCTTTTCAAATTCTGTTGTAAATGACAGCTTTATTTCTAATGGGACATTTACTAAGTAGTGCCATTTCTTGTGCACTGAGAAACCAAGTAAGTTTGTTTCTGTTTTGAGAAATAGTAACTTCTAAATTAGACATTTTAATGCAGCAAGTCAAGGTAATTAAACTTGTTGCACTCTGACTTGTAAAAATATTAGCATAGTCTTGATACTTAGAATCCAATTAAAGCTGAGCTTAGTGCATAAAACTATCTATGCTTTCCTAACTGAAACTCTGGAAGGATTTCTGTTCAAAGCTACTGTAAGGACCAAGGGTTTACTACATCTCAGTGGCACTGCTCAACCAAGTGGCTGAATTATACACAGAATGGCTCAGAAGTCTTTCTGGTTTGGTCTCCAAGCATTAAGTTTTGAGAGCAATGGAAAAAAGTATTCCTCTCCCAAGTTTAATCAATCACATCCCCTGTATAATTCAATCATCTGACATGTTTCTAACAGTTTCTCTTTATCTTACCTTTTTCTGATCTAATCCTTGAAGAACTCCCATTGCTTCACTCATTACTTTTCCTTAATCTCCCAGAAGGCTCTGGAAACTTGTTACCCTATTCTAAGGATACCTGTGATACTTCTGGTCTCATTATCAAAAATTCTAATCATAGTCACAAAAAACTGAAACTAAGGGAAAATATGACTTCCCCAGGTGACTATGCATTCCCCTAAATTCTCTCTTTTAGTGTCTATGAAATTATTGATATTCTTCTGACTTCTTTACTCTTTTTTCATTTTCATCTACTTTTCTAGTTCATCTCATCCAACTCTACTTTCATATTACCTCTGTTTATTCCAGATTATCTCAAGTTTCCTCAAAAAGTATCTATTTGTCTTGGCACATATCTCAAAATTCTTTTTTTAAAATTAGTTCTTTTTAGTTGTACAAGACAGTAGAATCTATTTTATATAATTATTATAACTATAATACAAGCATGGTATATATCTTATTCTAATTTAGGACCCCACTTTTGTAGATGTACACGATGGTGGGATTGATTCATTGAGATGTATTCATACACACACACACACACACACACGAAAATTATGTCAGATTTATTCCACTGTGAATAACTTTTTGACAATTGCCTCTAAATGGTGAACCTGGAGACTATCATGCTGAGTGAAATAAGCCAGTCCCAAAATGCTAAAGATCAAAATTCTTGCGGTGCTTTCTCCTGCTATTTTTGTGACAATTACAACTCCTTCAGTAGGTAGCTAGTTCCACTTTCCCTTTAGGAAATCTTCTCTAACCTACCCAAGAACTGCTAATCACCTCCCCCCTTAAACTACTCTAGTAATGGTATCTCTTATAAAACTGTACTCTGTAATAATTATCTATGCATAACTTCTCTTCAATGCTTCTCTCCTTCAGAGTAAGATTTCTATCCTATTCATCTGTATAATTTTAAAGTTTAACAGTCTACAAGGCACTGAATATTTGTAAATTGGCTCCAACTTCATCACATTTACTTGTGTCTTCCCAGTGTGCATTTTCCAGAACACTGAGTTCAACACTTCTATTTGCCAAATACCAGTGACTAAACTGGCTGGTAACTCTTGTGGTGAAAACAATGTTTACTATCTCTGTGGACTCTCCCAAACAGCACTTCCACATTGCAGTCCTAGCAACATTACAGAAAGCGCGGGCTCTGGCTAAAAGGATCACGCAACAAAGTTCATGAGATAGGAGGCGGAGGCACTGCAAAGAAAACTGCATAAGCAACGACTAAAACGCACACTCAAAACACTGCGCACCGCTCAGTGACTACCTGGCCTAGGCGAGTTTTCAAGGGGAGCCGTTACACTCACGAGACTAATGGAGCTGTTTTCGCAGGCCAGGATCTGCCAAAGCCCAGTCTCAGCAATATTAGGCAATCTGGCCTGCTAGGCCACAAAGCGAATGAGGGATGAGAATAGAAACGCACCAGCCTGTTTCAATGGAAGCTAGAGGGTGTAGCTACGACTCTGGAATAGTAGAAACCTGCGCAGCGTGGAGCCTTCTAGGTACCCCCCTCCCCCCGCCACGCTGTCTTCCAGGATGGGGTCAGAAGAGGAACCGAAAACGGCCTGAAACGTGGAAGTGTAAAAAGGCGCTGGAACCAACCTAAAGCCTATTCGAATGCCGATCACTTCTTACCGAGAACTGAGAATCAGAAACTGCGGAGACCGATGCCGTCGCCATTTTTCTGTCTGCCCAGCGCGGGCCTCCGCAGCTCCGGAGCGGTCTAGATTCTCTACTACTTCAAGACTCGAGAGCCGCCCCCCAGGGGCGACCCTAAGCCGAACCCCTGATGGGAGGGGTGGGGGTAGTGGCGCCGGGTCTAAATACCCCTGCTACACACCCCCAGTGGGACGCCCGCGCTCACAGCGCACGCGGAGAGGGCAACAACACGTCCTAACAGACGTCTTCTATAGCCAATCAAAAAAGCGGACGTCTTCCTTTGGTTGGAGAAAATTCGCCTCTTCCTAGGTGACGTCACAAGTATCGCGCAGTTGCGTCTGCCGGGGCCTGGTAGCGCTGCCGGCTGCTAGGCAACTCAGGGAATTCTGCAAAGGGATTCTACAAAGGGGATTCCTTTCCAAGAGGAAATGTGAGCCAGGGTTTGTGTTGTCGCTAGTGGCAACTGAATGGAATGATTGAAGCAGAATAAAAACGAACGGGAAGTTCAAACACTCCATCATTTCTTTTGGATTTAACCCGCGAGAGAGCGTGAGCTAGACTCGGGACGCCTCTCCAGGTGAAGTATTGACCTTCTGGCCAATAACAAAATAGGAGGGGCTTAATGATTTAGTCTAATGAAAGTCAAATGAAAAGGAGCAGAGAGAGAGAGAGCAAACCTTCGCGAACATTTGCCCAATTGGATTGGGGAGCCATGACCAAAATCTAAGATGTGCTGCTGGAACCTGCGGCGACCGGGACTTTTGGGCGGGGCAGATTCGAAGTGGATTTCGCGCTCTGAGAGCCTCGGACTCTTATTGGCCAGCGCCTTCCTCCCTTTGTGGGCGCTCCCGCGTAACCGGGTCTAGGGGTTGGGAGGAGCGGCCGAGTGACGCGATGTCCTCCGCAGCCAATCAGGGTTGCGGAAGCGAGGTGGAGAAGGAAGCGGATCCGCGGTCGCGCAGCTAAACCGCATTGAGCTACCCGCTTCGTCTCCCTCCGCCGCTATCGGAACCTCAGCGGGAGCGGCTGGGACAGCGTCACTGGGTGGGCTGGGGCGGAAGTGTAGGCGGAGGGAGACGGCGGTGTCCGCGGAGCCTGGGGCTCTTGCGGTGAGGCCCTGGTGGGCGAAAGGAAGGGGGTGGGGGAGGAGGAGGAGTCCGCGGCCCGGGCAGCGGCGGCGCCCGAGTTCTCCATAGGGCCCCGCCTCGGAGCGGGCGGCTGTGGAGGAGGAGATTGAGGAGCAGGATGGCGGCCTCGGCCCTCTACGCCTGCACCAAGTGTACCCAGCGTTATCCCTTCGAGGAGCTCTCCCAGGGCCAGCAGCTCTGCAAGGTCCGTGGTCACCGGGCGGGCGGGGTTTCCTTTGCCTCATCCCGAGGGGCTGGGTGCCCGCTGCAGGGCACCCCGCTCTTCGCTGGCGCCTCGGGGTTTGGGAGTCTGTGGAGTCCTACCTCCGCACCTTGGGACCCTTTTATCCGAGGGTCTGGGCATCAGGTGGGAAAGACCCCTGAGGGGAGACAGCATCCTACCCTCTTCCAGGCAGTCCAGGAGGGAGCCGGGCCCCATTACCGTCCGAGGGTCTCGGGTGGGGCTGAGTGAAGCAGCCACCTGTCTTATGCCGCAGAAACCCTGGGGTGGAGATATTTTCATCTTGGTTTTCTGCCTGGTCTGTCCTCTCCTTCCACCAGGAGGCAGGGGACGGTTTTTGCACTTTCTTGCTAGGAACCTGAAGCCGCAAAGCTGATGGCATCCTTCTTCCCTGTCCAGGAAAGCGAAGCGACTGGTTTGGGAACAGAATGCTCTATGATTTGGAGCTCCTCCCATCCCATTAAAGCCAGGATGCTGTCTGTGAGCAACGGTGTAAAATAACAAGTAGTTTCACATTTAACCAACCCTTGAAATCATCCCTGACAGCTTTCTTAATTTATCTGTAATATATCCCACATATCTAATGAAGACAAAGACAACTATGCCTTCCCTAAGGAATTACGTTGTGATTGGCCACTTACATGATAAGTCACCCAATTTTTTACGTTGGGGGCCAGGTTTTATTGATGTTTTAGACATTTGATTAGGTTGGGTAATAATTTTCTACCAGAAAAGTGAGATTCAGGACTTTGAGGTAGATGCTGACTAATGTATTTTCTTATTACAGGAATGTCGGATTGCACATCCCATTGTAAAATGTACTTACTGCAGATCAGAATTTCAACAAGAAAGGTTTGTATACTGAATAGTTTTTGATTGTTAAAAACAAATGTTGTCTAAGGAATACTTTGGGATTATAATCCCATATCTGTGTTACTCTGATATGGGATGCCTTAGTTTCTGAAGTTTTAAGTTATAAACCTTTTATGTATGGTGAGACAGAGAATGTTGACAAAAAATAACTGGTTTTTACTTTACAACTAGAGTTCAGTTTATACATGAGAAAAAGAGGGGTAAATTTTTAAAAAGAGGGATAAATGGAAAATGTACAGTCTTGATAACAAAAATGCAAATATAAAAGTTGCTATTAAAATCCAAAATGTTAATGGACTTGAGGAAAGGTTAGTAGTGTTACCAAATGCCTTCCAAGCGTGCAATCAAGTCACTGATTCACAGGAAGAATAGCACAGACTTTTTTAACAGGCACTTTGAGAGCACATACAAGAAAGTAGCCTAACAGAACAACAGATTTCTTCATGAGTGGGTATCAGATTATTGGAGAATGGCTGAGTAGAAAGTTAGGTAGGCACTGATAATCTTGTGCATTGATGGTGACGTGTGAAAATTGTAAAACTAGAGAGGAGACATTAGGATTTTTTGTTTTGTTCCGTTTACAAAAAAATACCCAATAAAGAAGTATAACATTTGACTTAAGTTAATGGAAGAGAAGTAAATTTGGATAAAACAACCTTAAAAAAAATCTTTAAGTTTGTCTTTTTTGAATAAAATGTGTGGACTAAATTAAAGTTTTAGGTACTACACTTAGCTCAACGCTGTGCTGATTACCCCAGAAAACTACATAATGTCATCTCTATATATTTTCCTTTCAGCAAAACGAATACAATTTGTAAGAAGTGTGCTCAAAATGTGAAGCAATTTGGGACCGTAAGTATGTCTTAAGATTTTTTTTGTTACTGGTCAGTTAATGTTTGTCACAAAGACAAAAACTTTTAGAAATTATATAGTGTTATGTGCTTATGTATTCAAACATATCAAAATACTTCATGGGAGAAAGTTTCTGTAGATAGTCTTATGTCAAGACTACATTTAAAAACAGTCAAACTATGTGCATTTTTTTTAAGTACTGTGTATAAAGTTATTCTTTAAACATTTAAATATAGAGGACTTCTTTTTGAGAATCTACTTAGCCATAAAATTTGCATAAACAAACTCTTTTTTTTCTCTTTAGAACTATTTTTATACAGCAATATAGTTCAGGTACTTATTCACAACAATTATAACAATACACTAATAAAAATTCTCTTACATGTGTACTATAGCAATTATTGGTATATTGGCAACATTATTATTGGTCAAAATGTTCACATTAAGTCTACTAATCAAAATTGTCTTTTGAATATTCAAGTATATCAAGATATTTTTATTATAATTTATGTTGAACATGTTTGTCAATTTTTTAAGTTGAAGATTGACCTATAGTATATTTTTATGTGTTCCTTTATATGACAAAAAGTTAAATTTTTTTTTTGCACAAATGACACAGTAACAGGATATTATTAGAAGTTCATTCCTCAAATTTGGATATATGAAATTTTTTTTTATGTCCCTATATTCTTGTATGTTAATTCTTTGAGGCTTTTTTTATGTGCAGCTTTTGTATGAAAATGTATCTTATTATTTAAACATTCTAATAGAGTAACAATGAGTTTCATGACTCTACAAATAAATATTAACTGAATGAATAGAAACATAATTGTTATTAAATATGGCAGATGACATATTTGAGCGAAAACCAGTTTTTTACCTTTTAGTTTCCTTAATTTTATCCCAGAGTTCCATTTATATGTAAGGAACTTTATGCAGCAAACTTGAATGTTTTTTAATGTCTCAGTCAAAATATATGTCTGCTTTTCAGCCAAAACCTTGTCAGTACTGTAACATAATTGCAGCATTTATCGGTACCAAGTGTCAGCGTTGCACAAATTCAGAAAAAAAGTATGGACCACCTCAGACCTGTGAACAGTGCAAACAACAATGTGCTTTTGATCGGAAGGAGGAAGGAAGAAGAAAGGTATGTTTTATTTATGTTATGGTATCTTCCTGAAATTAAATAATATACCAACCAACTTAGAATTTATAATTGATACGGGGATCAGATATGATTATTTTTTGGGTCCTGAAAGCAGATAGTTAGATGAAAGCGTAAGAATACTGAAAATAATGAATTTTTTCCTTGTTTGCATCGTATGTGAATTCATGTCAATCAATCAGGGTTACTGTACTTTTAAAATTTCAATCCAGGCACGGTGGCACACATCTGTAGTTCCAGCTACTCAAGATGCTGAGGCAGGAGGCTCGCAGTTCAATACCAGCTTGGGTAACTTAGTGAGACCACCATTTCAAAAATAATAAATAAATAATTCTGTGATGGCTATTCTCCACTATTTGGTTGCCCCCCAATATGATTTCTGAGACAGATTTTTATTGAGTAAATCTTTTCACCTATTTACCCTTTTGCTGGTTACTTGAAATTGCTGGTGTGAAAAAAAAAAAAAAACCTGATGGCACATTAGCACATAAAATTCAAAGTTAGTCTACTGCCTTTTGATATGGGCTCATATTTGAAACCATTGTTTGTTTTTCTCTACCTACAGTGACTTAATAATTATGTGTATGCATGTGGCATTCTTCTGCTGATCAGCATTCACACAGGCCTCCTGTTGTCTATCAGTTTCAGTTGACTTGGAGGATGACTGTCTCTTTGAGGGGCTTCCCCAGGTCCCCCCACAGCAATGTATGTACCTTAGTTGTAAGACATGCCCCTCCAGCACTTTTTGTGTGAAAAACAGAAGACAGAAACTATTTTATAGGTTTTGTCTTAATTTTGGAAAGAATTCTCTCCCTCTCCATTGACTCACATAACAATTGATTCTCGTTATTTGCAGTAGTTAACATTCTTTGAAGTTGCCAGAAATACTGAATTGATGAAAACTGAATTCCTAAGTGAAATACAAGATTAGGTTCCTGTGTCTATTTATAACATGTTGGGCAATCTAACAGTATATAATATTATTTTGTATTTACCCTTAGAGATGCCTTATTGCACATATATGTATATGACTAATTAATTTAATTGAACTAATGACCAGTAGTGCTAATGATGCCTGAATAAAGTTTATCTAAAACATGTATTTTTTCATAAGGTACATCACAGCCTTCTTGAGCATAGGAGCACTGGGCAACACTTCATCATTACTCTTTGGGACTATTAAAACAGAATCACAAAGAGAAAACACAAAAACTTGAAAATAAAACAGCATTAGTAAAAAGGACAGTTGTTTATTGTATGAAATATAAAACAAGAAGGTAGAATGTTACCTTCTGCCTTAATTGGGAATGTGTATCTTCTGGTGGCACACTTTTCAGTGCTATGTACCTGCTGGGTGTGAATAGCTACAAATATGCTGTAAGTATTGTTTTGAGGGTTACAAATAAATTTTAGCAAAAAGGCAAATCTGCAAATATGAAATCTGAAAATAACGAGAATCAATTATATTATTTAAGCACTCCTATTTTTCTATAAATTCACAATACTTTACTGTTGAGGAAATTCTTTATCATTTTGATAATCACACAGTGACTTAAGAGGTCAGACTAGATTACTTGGAAGTATGTCAGCAATTTATGCTTATTTTGTAGGAATAAGAAAAAAGGTAAAATGTCTCTTCACAATTAAAATGCCTCAGGACTAATGGAAGTCCATATATCATACTAACCAGTTTTATAATCTTCAAAACAAAAAGTTTTGAGAAAAGTCTAAGTTGGCTTCCATTTTGCAAAGATCTGTGAATGTATGTATTCACAGAATTTTGCACATATATGTGAAATGTAACTAGAAGTTGAGCAGTGTGTCTTATCTGGTTTCATTTACAGACAGATAAATACATTTAATTTAATACCAATATTTTCTTAAAAGGTTGATGGAAAGTTACTGTGCTGGCTGTGTACTTTATCATACAAGAGAGTTTTACAGAAGACAAAAGAACAAAGGAAGAGCCTGGGATCTTCTCATTCAAATTCTTCATCTTCATCTCTCACGGAGAAAGACCAGCATCATTCTAAACATCATCACCACCATCATCATCATCACCATCGTCATAGCAGTAGCCATCACAAGTAAGTACTTTGAAGTCAGGTTTTCTAAAGTCCTTCCCAGTGTTTTAATGCCATATTGATGTTTATTTGCCATTGTTAACGATGTGCTGCTCTACTTTTCATTTTATATTGTAAGCTTCTTGAGTATCTCAAGCTGTGTTATGTACTATGCAGTGTGTAAAATTATACACACGGAAAATGTTTAGGTGTTTATCATAATTACAATGATAGAGCATTTAGGGAATAACATAAAATGATTATACATAGTCAAAATAGTAATACATCAGAGAGAATACTTCACTGATTTCAGTTATCAAGAGCCTCAGTTTTTTCAGAGGGTTAATCATTGGGATTTTACTCATAAAAATTTATATTTACACCAGTTGTCATTAATTAAAAGCACATAAGCCAGTGACTAAAAAATACATCTAATCTTTTTGGAGAATACTTTGTAAAATTACCACTTGTGACTTAGTAGAAGTTAGTAGAAGCATGTTTTGTGTGTTTGGTGGAGGGGTGTGAGGAATTGAACCCAGTGCTAATGAGTGCTAAGCATGAGCTCTACCACTCCACTGAGTGCTTTCCTGTTACCTGTAGATGCTTTTTTAAACTAGGAATTTAACCCAGATGTATTTTACTATTGAGCTACATATCCAGTCCTTTTTTTAATTATTTTTATTTTTACTTTTTTAGTAGTTGAAGGTGGACAGATGCCTTTATGTTTATCTTTATGTGACACTAAGAATGGAACCCAGTGCCTCACCTGTACTAGGCAAGTGCTCTTAGTTACAGCCCCAGCCTGCCTTTTTTTAAATTTTATTTTAAGGCAGGATCTTGCTAAGTTGCTTAGGGCCTTGCTAAATTGCTGAAGCTGTTCTTGAACTTGTGATTCTCCTGCCTAAGCCTCCGGAGCTACTGGGATTACAGGTGTGTGCCACCACACCTGGCTTGTGGAAGCATTCTTAATCTTGGAGGTCACCAAAGTATGAGAACTAATATTTTAAACTAGTGGTGCTTTGCTGGTTTTTAAAACACAAAGTAGGAACCCTATTCAAATACAAATAGTACTTGATTTTTTTTTTTTTTTTAAGATGTCGATGGACCTTTATTTTATTCATTTGTGGACAACTTGATTTTTTTAAAGTGAATTGGGGCAAGGGGGAGTTATATAGCAGTAACATTTTAACTCTGTGTGTGTAGTATACTTCTAAAAAGTGATTTTATTTCTCATGGAAAAATGAATATTAAAATACCAATTGAATGCATAAACACAAATCAGGAACATGATGCACACCCATTTTCAGAAGACTTCATTGTTTTTTCCTAAATTTTACTATGACTTTAATTTCTGATAGTTATTTAAAATATAATTTCATATATAGAAAACAGATACCCACCACATTTTGGAACACAGAATAGTTCTGCCTAATTAAGATTTGATTATGAACTGGAAAATTTTGAGGATTTATCAAGGCACTATGTTTATTAGTTTATTTCCTAGGCATGATATAGTAGATGGCAATTCTTTTTTTGTTTGTTTGTTTTGGTAGTCTACAATTCTAATTTGGCACTTTTGAAGAAATTTTGTGGTCATTCTATCAGTTTCCCAAAGGGAAAATGTACATAAAATTTCCTTGTTTTTGCTTCTTGATTTGAGAAAAAAATACGACAAGATAATTATATACTATAATGGCATCTGCCTACCTAATCTGAAGACTCTGCCAGAATGTCTGTTTTCCCTGTCATTGTGGATAGATTTGTCTTAGCATGATTTGAAAGAAAGCAATCAGTATATTTGAAAGATCAAATGAGGTGGCAGTAACCTAATCTTTGGAAAGAATAACAGGTTTCTAAAGTAAAGGGGAAAAGGACAGTCTTCACTTTGCAATTTTCTTTTCTTTTGACTAAAGAAATACAAATATATAGTCATTAATAAGTATCCACTGGCAATTGGTTTCAAGTCCTCATTCCCTTATTTTAAAAGGCGCAGTTTTCAGAATCAAAAAAAAAAAACAAAAAAAACTGCCTTTTGTATACGGGGTAAAAATGGGAGTTCATAACCCACTTGAATCAAATGTATGAAATATGATATGTCAAGAGCTATGTAATGTTTTGAACAACTAATAAAAAAAAAGAAAATAAGAATAAATAAAACCCAAATTCAAAAAAAAAGGCACAGTTTTTGCACATAACCTCTGTACATCTTCTCATGTACTTCAAATCTTCTCTAAATTATTTAACATACCATTGGAATGTAAATGTTACATAACAATTGCTGTACTGTATTGTTCAGAGAATAATGAGGAGAAAAAAATCTGTACTCAGTACAGACAACAACAATCTAATGATGTTTTTCATCCACAGTTAGTTGAATCCTCATTTTTGTGGAACCTGAGGATATGGAGGGCCAACTTTACCATTTTATATTTGATGGTCCATTTCATGAACAGGCAGCTAGTTTTTAGGGATAAATTGAATAGATCAAAACAAATATGAGGAACATACATATTGTGATAGATGGTGATTGGTGTGCAGGGATGGTATGGTCATGGTCACAGCAGTTATGATGCTAAGTTCAGTTTGGATTCAGGAATGGTCACCCCTCAGAAAACTAAGATGGGGATTCCAAGATTTCTGATAAGTAGTATTAATGTGATTGTTCTCACTTCAGTATCTAATTAGTGTTATTAATTAATGTATGATTATTTGGCTTCTTAATGCTTATTTTGTTAGTGAAATATGTAAAAGAATTTCTCAGTAGAATTGCCATTCATTGACACAAAAGAGTAACTCAGGTTGATAAAGAGTTACAGCTATGATTTCCTCAACTTACTATTTATTTAAAAATGATTCTTAAGAACACAGTTTGTTTTTTACTTTGGCTTAAATATTTCCCATAGCTAAAACAAAAGTATATGCTAGCACTGTACGAAGTGTTTTTGTCTTTGTAAGAAATGCACTGCACCCATTTACAGATGGGGGAACTGAGATTGAGGAATTTTGAATAACTTGCCCAATGTTACATAGCTTACATGTTTTTAATCTCTTAAATTGTATAATATCTGGCTTGCGGGAGATGCTGTATACCTATTAAATGAATAAAGACATTAGTAAAGGATTGACTAAAGTGCAAGTTCAGAAGAAAGAAAATGTGGGATTCATAATAAGTTATAAGTTAATTTATTAACATGGCAAAATGAATCTGACGTCATCATTCTAAGTCAAAGGAAAATCATTTTTACTGTGAATCTGTAATTGTTTTCAGTATGCCTTCTCTAGACTATTGACTAAAGAAAGATCTAAAGACTTCAGAGAGGATTCTTAGGAAAACTAGGAAAATATCAAAGGAAATAAGATAGTTCTTCAACCAGCATGATGCATTATTCTGAGCAAATTGAGTTCCTTGAAAGAAAGTGTCTCCATTTTGGATTATTAAAAAAGTCTTGCCTTTAAAGATACAATTTTTTGTATGAAATACTAAGGGCAGCTGAAGTATAGTGATTCTTAGATTTTATAATTATAGAACCCTGTTATAGTTTTTATGTTTATATACCCCAACCCTTGGTATATTAAATGGAATTTTGGCACTCATGATGAACAAGAAAGTTTTTTCTCTACCACTGAACATGTTTTTGAAAATTTAATGTGGCTAGGAGTCATTTGATTCGAATTTATTCCATTAAAATATAATATATAAAATACATATTAGGTTAGCTTGAAAATTTAATTAAATACACCTTTCTCTGAACAAAAGATTTATAATGTTTTGTTTATGACTTAATGATTTGATTCCATTGAGAAAGAATGCTATTAAATATGTGTTAAATAAGTGTTGTTATCAGATGTTGTTTATGTATTTTTCAGAATCAGCAATCTCAGTCCAGAACAAGAGCAGGGACTGTGGAAACAGAGGTAAATACATTAACATATTTTCCGAAATATTTGAAATGTATTCTTGTTAAGTGTGATATTCCTTTAACTTTGTTACTTAGACTTTAAAAGTATCAGTGTGGTTTAGTAAAATTTTAGGGGAAGAAGAATAACTTATCACTTGGTGCTACTATCCTTTTTATCTAATTATTCTTATTAATGTTTGGTTTCAGCCATAAATCCTCTGCAGCAATTCAGAATGAAACTCCAAAGAAAAAGCCCAAATTGGAATCTAAGCCATCTAATGGAGATAGGTAAAAATGAATTCCTTTAGTGCTGTAAAAATTTAACTCAACTGAACAGTTATGGTTGATTGCCAGTTATTACTAGATAAGAGAATAGAAAGAAACATGTGTCTTCTACACTGACTTCTTTGAGTCATCTAGAAGAATAAACATCAGTTAAAAAAGATTAATTTTGGCAATAAGAAAGTGGCACTAAACTTTTGTTGTTCTAGTTGGGAATGAATTTGGGTTTTGAAAACAAGAAAACATTGAATAAAGAACATTATCGTATTTGTTCTTCAAGGAAACACAAATCTTGATTGTGATATTTTAAAACTGACCTACTTAGAAAATGTTTTTAGATTTGAAATATTTTTAGTGTGACTTTGTTTTAGTTCATTAGCCAAAAGTTTGCTGATGTTACTGTACAAATTGGCTGCCTATTGCTTTACACTAGAAGTATTGACCCCCTAAAAGCTAATACTGAATTATATTTCTGCAGGTGTATGTAATGTGTGCCATTAGTAAGGTAATTTGCCAGTTGCATCCATTTCTGTCAGGTACATATTTTTTTGCATTAGCCTTAAGGATGTTTGTGGAATTGTCTAATTTATGCAATTTGAACACATGCTGATTTTTCTTCTACTTTATTTAACTGTGTTTTACCTTTTTTTTTTTTTTTAGTAGCTCTATAAATCAGTCAGCAGATAGTGGGGGAACAGACAATTTTGTCCTTATAAGTCAACTGAAAGAAGAGGTGATGTCACTTAAGCGTCTCTTACAGCAAAGAGACCAGACCATTTTAGAAAAAGATAAAAAGGTAAGAGCATGGTTCACTGAAGCTGCTTAAGAATAATGTCCAGAGTTGGGATTGTAGCTTAGTGGCAGAGCGTTTGCCTAGCATGTGTGAGGTACTAGGTTCAACTCTCAGCATCTTATACAAATAAATAAAAATAAAGGTCCATCAATGACTAAAAAACTATTAAAAAAAAAAGAATAATGTCTTGACTAATTTTCCTAAATACTTTGGTAATGTTTGTCATTCACGATTCTTATAAATTACCAACTAACTAATGAAGATAAGTAAAAATGGTCTTTCAAAATTTTTGTGATTCTAAGAGTTAACTGAGAGCTAATTAGAGTAGTAATAATTCCAGTTTTCACTAAGCATGTAATTTTAAAATAGGTCTAATAACTTAATTTGAAAATGAGATGTGATTGGAATATTGTATGAGTTCTTGTGGTTTAAGAAAGTAATCAAATATACTCTGATATATACTGATGATTTGTTTTTATCAGTCCAGATCAACTAACTGTTGGTTAAAAGTAATGGTATAAGAATTTCCTGTGTAGTACTCATTTGCATTAGGTATCTAAGATCATTTTGTAGGAAGCATACTTACTGATACTTAGTTTCTCCGTTAACTTAATAGGAATATCACATACGTTGTCCTTTTAGGGAAAAGAGGAATGTTAATAGAATTATGGATTTAAGGTTTTCTTAAGCCATGATATTAGGATTGGATAATAGTGGGCAAGAATGGAGCAGGAAATGGATTTTGAAGACATTTAGCCATACTCAAGGTTCAAACTCAGTTCTGTCATTTTGTGATCTTGAGCAGAATATTTCCTTTTCTCTAGGCCTTAGTTTTCTCATTTAAAAAATAACCATCACTGCTACTCTTATTGAATGGGAAAGTGATTAAATGAATAGGCAAAGTGTGTACTATAGCTTCTGACTTAAGTGCTCATGGATGCCATTACCAATGTTTTATGATCTTTGAGGGTAGAACCTACTCTTGTACTTGTTTTGTTATCCCAGAGAATGCAGTTTAGCCTATATTAAACAAATGTCTTATGCAGTAGGAGAACATTAAAAACATTCTATTTAAGAGTATAAAACATGTGGGTGTGGTGGTGCGTGGTGCACACATGTAATACCAAAAACTTGGAAGGCTGAAGCAGGAGGATTGCAGGTTTGACACCAACCTCAGCAACTTAGCAAGGCCCTAAGCAACTTAGTGAGACCCTGTCTCAAAAAGGACCGGAAATGCAGCTCAGGGTAAAAACACCCCTGGGTTTGATTCCTGGTAACCCCCAAAAAACATAAGACATGATTATAAATACACACATGAATTATTTATCTCCGAGTCTCCATAGTAGCAGAACTTGAGCCTGAGCTGGCTTTTACTTCTGGCATTCAACAACTTTTTTTGTTACATTTTCTCACCTTTGATGGATATGTATATTTAGATACATTTGTACCTTTAAATTTAGTATAGGAAAATTAAAATTGACATGTTAGATAAAATAGGATAGTTATAGATAGTTTTTATAGTTCTTTTTGATAACATTTTTTAAAATTAATGCCTTTATGGAAATATTTTCTATGCACAAAATTTTAGAGAAACTTTATTATACAAAGCCAAGTATATCTACGTTAAACTTGAGAAAAGATGAATAAAATGCCAAACTTACTGCAAAATTGCAGAGATTCGAAAACTAAGTAGTTACACTTGTGGAATACTGACTTGTTTTCCCTCTCTGCCATTACTATTCTGTATTAGTTTAGTTGATTGAAGGTTTTTTGTTGCTGTTGTTGTTGTTAGTGTTCCTCATTAAAACAAAAATAAAAAAAAACCAGTGGATTGAAATTAGCAGTGTTGTAAGAAACATAATTATAAATCTAGTAAGTTAGTAACTTTTTCTTTTAAATCTAAGACAAGTTATTTTTCTGAATTTGTTTCAGGTTTTCATTGACTTCTAGAGCTAGACATTAGGTCATGGGGGTACAAAGAAAAATAAGACACAGTCTTTATCTTACAGAAGTTTATACATTGGAGGAAACTACAATATAGTGAATAGAATAATTACCTTAGTTGATCTGATGTGAACTGGCATTTCAGAACCGGAGTTCTATAATATGGAAAAATAGAAAATTTAGTTATTTGAATATGATAAAGCAAGGGATTTTATTTGGAAAGAGGAATTTCAGACATTGTGACTTTGTTTTTGCTATTGTATATCTTTTGGTTTACTGGATACTGGATAATGATAGGGAAAAATAAATAAATCTTGCATAGTGAAAAACACTTGAAAATAACCTAAAGCAGCTTCTGCATGTATGTAATCACTTACTTTTTAGTTGGATGAGATATTTTGTGTATGTTATTTATGTTTATTAAAAACTTGACATGTAATCTTTGCTTTCTCAAGCCACTGATTTTTTTCTTATATTTGCTAATTTAGCTTAAATTTTTTGGTAACCATCTTTCCCTTCTCATTCTTCATTAGTTGTATTTCTGTGCTTTGTTCTCCTTTTTTATCTCAAGTGAAAATGTTACTGTGGTAGTATTGTGCACATAATCCTGGACATAAATTTACAAATAAATACAGCTCTTGGTTTATAGGACTATTCCTCTTTATACTTACCCATTGTGAAACTTTTTTTCCTTTTACCACTGAAAGATTATTTTAATTCAAAACTAGTTTAAATGTTTACTTCTGCTTATACTAATGTGAATTACATTTTAATTGAAACGCTAATATATTAACATAATTTAGTATACCAGTAATGTAGCTGTGTCCATTGTATACCAGTAATGTAGCTCTGTCCGTTGAAGCCAAAAACAAAAATCTCAACTTAAGTTTAATAAAAGCAGACAGAATTCATCAGTTCACAGAACAAATTCTAACTAAATTATAAAATTCAGGAAAATGTTGTTAACATCTGTTTTCATAAAAATGTGAGAAATATTTAAATGTTGTTTATATGAGCGGAGATATGTATTTTGAGGTGGCACATATATATATATATATATAGTGTGTGTGTGTGTATGTGTGTGTATATATATCTTCTTTTTCTTTTATTCTTTCAGTTAACTGAACTAAAGGCAGACTTTCAGTACCAAGAGTCAAATTTGAGAACAAAGATGAACAGTATGGAAAAAGCTCACAAAGAAACTGTGGAACAACTTCAGGTAAATGACATAATTTATATAGTGTCGGGGGGTGGGGGGACTAAACTTTGATAATGGCATTCATTGACTTAGATTGGTATTAGTATCTATTTTATGCATATGTGATTTTGTAAGTTTTTAATCCTAATTCCTGTAAAAAATTATTGTTTGAAATCATTCAAAAGGTGATTGATTCAGTTCATTAATCCTGAAAACTTTTGTGTTAACTTTAAATGGAATTTTCAGAAGAGGATATAATTGGGGTATATTGATCATTGGGCTAAAAGCAAAAAATTAAATATTACTTTCATGAAACTAAGTTGAAAGTAAGGTTTTTAGTTGCAATCTTTCTTCCTATTTCCTTCTAGATAATAAAAAGGGAAGTAGACATAGAAAACCAGTTCTCAAGACCTTGAGTGAGGAAGTTTATGCTGTGGGCAGTGATGGAAGTCAAGAGAGTGTCCTTAATCTGTGTACTGTGGTTTGCAAAGTGCCAAACAGTGACTCCTCCTTAATCTCAGAGTATTCCAAAATACAATAAGCATGATTTGAATATAGAGAATAGCTGGTAAATCTGAGAATCATACTAGCAAAGCTGGTAGAACCTAATATCTGGCATTCAAGGATGGTGAGCATCTATCATGTGATAGAGATTGTTCCCTTAGTAGACAAAAAAAAAAGTTCCCTTAGTTTACTCTTACTTATGTTTCATACATTTAGAAATGAAATCACACTAAGTTAACTATATGTTCTTCAATGTATATATTCTGATATTTGTAAATCTAATTTATGAATAATAGGATTTTAAGAAAGGTTAAGAAATTGTTAAGTCTTAAAAGCATAGATGAGGCCAGCACACAGACTTCAGATTTGACAGAAGAGTTTATCTTTGAAAGGCAGGTATTAATACTGCCCCAGTTTTTGTTTTTGTTTTTGTTTTTGTTTAATATTGTAACATTAAGAGATACTTGCTATTTCTGTCTTGGGTTCTAGTACTTGTCAAACATCTTTGCAAGTAGTTTAAATGGAGTAGAATTTAAGTACCTGTTGAAATTCTAGGTATAGCTTGCTTGGTCTTAAACCTGACTTTACTATTCAAAATTTTTAAATAGGAACCTCATGAACCTGGAACATTGTAGGCATTCAAATGATTTGTTGAACGAGTAGTGATTTATGGAAATGTCCTTCTGTCTTGAGAAATTACCCACATCTTATATTGGACTTCTTGTGCATGAATTATTGTTTTTCACCCACCATCAAGTATTTTGAGTTTTGATATTCACATTTATTATTAATGCTGAATGATTACGTGAAGTATAATCTTCAACCTGATAATTTCTGATTTAATACAGTGTAACCAAAGCTCTGAAGTAAATCCAGAATGAAATAACAGTATAACTGTGAGCAATAGTTAAGTATGGTTTAACTTGGTACTTACCACTGTTAAAAAGATCATTGAAATAAATAAATAAATAAATCATAGTTGTAAGCACAAGAAAACCCTCTTTGCTTTTAGCCTGATTGTTATCTTAAACCTTGCAGATGTTTGGTAGCTGAATTTTCATATGATGTTGGAGTAATTAATATTTACATAGAATTAGGATGGTTTCAGCATGATTTTACATGCATTGTTTTCTTTGCTTCTTAAAATGAGTTAAGTGCTGTGCTCATTTTTTAAATGAAACTATGTTCACATAATTAATGATATAGAAACTTGCATTTTCTGCCTCAGGTTTACATATCCTTTTACCTATTCTTCATGGGCTCCCACTACCCAAGTTACTCAGGTTTTCTATTTCATCCTCATCTTCCCTGTACCTTTTGAGTTATTGCTAGAGACGTTCTGTCAGAGCTAAGTGCCATCTTTTTACCCCACTCCCTTTAGCAACCAGTATACTAGTAGGATTCTCTACTGAGGTGAGTAAACACAGTTAATTATTTTCTTATCTTTTTATGATAAGGAATTGAATTCTGTAATGTATAATTTATCTTGCTCTAATAGCTCACAAAAAAATTTAATGATCAAACCTAGGAATAAGCCTGAGTGTAACTCCCAAAAGTATGGAAAATAGCTCTTAAATACCAAGAACACCAAATAAAATCTGTGTTAATTTAGTAGATGAGTGGCTAAAAGGGAAAAGGAACCATTTGAATGCCTACTATGTACCGGTTGTTTTATTAGGAGCTGTTTGATGTGTTTGATTAGTTCTTTCAACTGATTTCAAAGTGGGTAGTTAAGTTTCTTTATTACAAATGAAAAGTTATACTCCAGGTTACATAATAGGTAAGTGACAGAGCTAGAATTTAAAGTGGGATCTGTGTAATTCTTAATTTCGATTTTGTTTCCTTTAGGCTAACATTTAATTTGCTTAAGAGTTTCTATTTCGTAGAGTTCATAATAAAGAAAAGTTTTTAGGATAAAACATTTAAAAGTATAAAGATTTATTTTTAATATACTCTAATTATAGAGTAAGACAAATTTGAGCCTGTATCCATTTTACAGATACACTGTTTATCCTAAAGGGTTTTGCTTACATAGTTTATCAACAATCATACTTATTAGTAATGTGGTTTGGGGACTTAAATATATAAATTGCAGATTGAAAATTGGCAGCTAAATCATTAACAGAAAAAAAAATTATTCCAAGATTAATTTTTATTTTTTTGTATTCTGTACTTAGAATATAAATATTATAAGCTCTTTTTAAATTTCTCAGCATGTCTGAGAAAAGAATTTGGAGATTCATTTTTTAACCATTTGGTATATTAGTACAAATTTTTTATATACATGTAACTTGCAGATCTGGGGAGATCTTTGTAGGCATAGCCCCTTCGTTACTTTGTATTTCAAAATTTCTGTTTAATTTTCCTGTTTTTAGCCAGTAGATCCATTATGGTCATGAATTAAATAATGTATAGCTAACAATTAGTGAAAATTTTTAAACTACCACGTTGACCGTAACTATTCCGCTGAATAATAAATTGAATAAATGTGCATTGCTACTTGATTTCCTTTTGTTTTTCAGGCTGTTTCATTTTAAAGGGAAAATAAAACTCCTTTTTGATTTTGATGACTTTCTAAATTTGAAGTTAATATTGATTTTGAATGAAAAGTAATTACCATTTTAGTTATTTAATAACTATTGAATATGAAAATCTTACTCATATGTAGCCAAACATGAAAGATGATTTGGTTGCACATATAAGAGACCACTGAAAATATTTGCATTTTGGAGGCCATACGTGTTACTTAGGAAGAGTTTGTAGACGTTCAGGGGAATAGAAGTACATAGCCTAAGAATCTACTTTAAGATGGCATACAGGAAAGGCAGAATATTATCTGGCCATACAGAAGCTAAAATTAAAGTAGAAAATGAAGCACTAACATTAAAGAAGTCTGTCTGAATAGAAGAATTTAAAACCTGTGAATTAAAGTAGTTTTCAAACAGAAGGATATCTTTAAAACTTTTGTTATTTTTAGGACAGTGCTCAGATTTCAAACCATTTTTATCATTCTTTATACTTTGGATCAAAAACTTGGCAAATGCTTGATCATTAATATATTTGTATGTACTAGAGATTCTTTTTTTTTTTTATCCTTTAGCCTGATTTTTTTTTTAAATTTTTTATTGTTGGTTGTTCAAAACATTACATAGTTCTTGATATATCATATTTCACACTTTGATTCAAGTGGGTTATGAACTCCCATTTTTACCCCATACTAGAGATTCTTATCAAAGTTTCCAGAGTCAAGAAACTGCATAGAGTGGCAAAGGCAGTCAAAATATGAAAATACTCATTGAAGGTAGCTACTTTAGACAGTCCTCCACACGAAACACTAGTGACTGTTGTAGCACATTGGATCGAGGGGCAACGTCTTTGTCAATGATGGTTGGGACATTATATAGTGCAGTGTTAAAGTTCAGTTCAGGTTGTTGGCAAAGAAATTTTGAATCTTGGCAAAAAAAAAAAAAAAATAGCCTTTATTGAAAGTAAAAGCATTAATGATAGAAATTACTTAGATCCTACAAAGCCAGTATCAGATGACTATATGACAATTAAAGAAACAAAAATAAGGTCATGAAGAGTGGTTCTAATGGGTATGTAAAACAAGAAGATCTTTGGTGAAGTGATGAAGGGGATAATTTTTATTTAAAAAATTGCTTAGGCTTGTTCTACAAGAAGGTAAAAATCAAATGAAAGACTATATACAGCTTGCTCATGTCATGTTTTAAAATAAAGGACCAAATTGTTTCTCCTACTTAAAACTTGAACCTTTTAAGCAGACTCACTTTGTTGCCTTTTTTGTGACCAAGTTTATCTTTGGACATAAATTATATTAATACTGACGTTTACCAAAAAAGGATCCATTAAACCAATATCTAGAATTTTTTCTTCTACCTGTTTAATCTTAAAAGGAAGAATCTAAACACACCAACTCTTTCATTTGATCTGTTACTATTTTTAATCTTTTGTTATAGAAATGAAAAAAACAGTATTCTGCAGTGTGACTTTATAATATTTCATACTTTTTAAATCTTGAATTTTTGTCTCTCACAGGCCAAAAACAGAGAACTACTCAAACAGGTTGCAGCATTGTCAAAGGGTAAAAAGTTTGACAAAAGTGGAAGCATACTAACATCTCCTTGAAAAGGTTGTTTATTTAGTGTTTCTGCTTATAGTGTAAATTTGGGGAAAAAAATTCTGTGAAGCCCTTAAATTCTGTGTTGTAGAAAATATTTTTGCACACCAAATAATTTGGCGTGTTTCCTATTCACTTTTTGTAATTGATATACAGCATTTTTTAAGTTGTAAACATTCAAATAAAAACTTCAACTGGTTTGAAGTAACTTTCTAATTATTTGATATCCAGGAAATTCTTGCCAGCAATAGTATTAAACAGTTGTAAAGGAGTGCATGAGTAGTGCTCTTTATGAAATGAAACATGCAATAATAGAGGTAGGTATGGTTTTAAGAAGTCAGAGCAGCAGGGTTTTTTGGGTTTTTGTTTAACACTATGCTAATTTCAGAAAAAAAAATAGTTTTCAATTTAGAAATACAAAAACTTTTAAACAGGAAAATGGTGAACACTGGTTTTTTTGGAATTGTATTTTTACTTTGCATCAACATGAATTTAGGAGAGAATCATGGTGCTTTTATTAAATGAACTTCAGAGTATATGTAAATATGTTTTTAAAAGTTACATCATTAACATTAGTTAGTAACCTAGCATTTTCATTACTGGTATAGGAATTAACATTTATTGTACAGTATCCAAGGTAAAATGTGTTTTTGTTTTGTAAAAACTACTGTAGATTTTTACTTACAAGTGCCTTTTTGCCACCTAATGTTTTTATTTATAGGAATGCTGATATTTTGTACATACAATTTGTTTTAAAATCATGTTCAATAAGTGTTTATATATAAATACATATGTATAGAAGCCTCTTTCAAAAGAAATAAAAGTTGCTAATAACATTTGAGGTTGCATTAAAGAACTAACTGATAATGCATAGAGACTTTAGGTGATTTGTGGTTGGTTTTCTATGTAATAAGGGAAGCTGTTGGTCATTGAATTCATTTAATTATATTGAAGTACTTCCCTAAAGATTTAATTTTAAATCATTTCTGATAGAGTGTTTTTATTTTTTATGGTATGTGGCTTCATGTTCATATTTTGTGAATTACATGTTTTACTTTATATACATATTTTATATATAAAATTTCTTTAAAGTTTATGTTTCTGCAGCGGTCCATATATCTGCTTTCCCCATAACTTGTGGTTATCTAAGTTAATATTTATGTGAACAATACTTATTTTGTAAACTTAATGCAAATCTGGAAAATTAAATAACTTTTTATAATCAAATCTGTGCTTACCTTTGAATAAATTGAGTCTACTATAATGTTCAGGCACTATTTATAAGTAAATTGTCTCAAAGTCTTCAAAATTGCTTACAAAAAAAAAACGGTTAAGATAGTGTGGGGTGTGTTACATGAAGTTATTGACTAATATTCGGATCTAGTTTTTTTCAATCTGTAGTGGAAATTGATCTACTTAATATCAGTTCAGACTTTTAGTTCAATATTAAAACCCTCAGGCATTATAAAATATACACTGTATAGAGGAAAAGAGTTATTTCCCTTAGGAATTTTTTGGTAAAGATAAATTTCCAGTAAATTTTAAATTGATCTATTTTGAAGGTTTTGTTTTTAAATGTTGATTATGAATTTCATATCAAATTGGCTTTATAAAGGACATGAGTATAGCAATTCTTTTTAACATTCTTGTTTTAGTGGATTATTCTATAGTTGCTCATTAATCTTTGTCCAATTGGAAACACATAATCTAGGGTAATTTTCAAGAAATAGTAAATGATTGAATCAGCCATATTTGGAAAAATTAAGCTGGTTTTTAAAAATGAGACCTTCATGCAGTACTCTTCTTAAATTTAGTACTCTTAACCATGGTAGATACTGCCTTAACATGGATTTCAGTGTTTTCAATATTTGCTGAGTTCATAGATGATCATTCTTTAAAAATTTTAATGTTTTATGTTTTGGTTTCATAGCCATTTGTCAATCCACAGTGATTATGATCGATAGTAAACTGTGTGATGGTTTTTATACCTTCCTGAAAATGCTTCACAAGAAAATTGCCCATCTCCCATTAGCTAAAGTTAAAATAGAAAATCAGTTTAAATGATTAAGCTTTATACATTTCAAGGCTAAAACCATTTAGGGGCTTCACAGTATTTCCTAATTAAATACTCTCTCTTTATTCCATGACCTTATTTTTTATAATTTAAATTTTTTACAATTGTATAAATTAGTAATTGAGTCCCAGTCCTGATCTGTAGTGTATTGACATAATGAGCTGATATTCTTTAAATGTGGGCCTGTAAGGGGATACTATGGTGTGCTGTATTGTGCTTCTAGCCTGTTTTCCACAATTAATTAGCATTTACCAGTTAGGGTCATTTTGGCTCAAGTAATTTGTGTATTAATAGCCTGTGAATATTGCAGTCCTTTTTAGATTGTATTGGTCTAAATAAACATTCGGCAGTGAACCTGGTAAGCTGTTCACATGTATAGACTATTGAAATACTGTACTTGTACACATCTGTTGACATTTTGTACTTTTTTCTAAATCCAATATTTCACAATAAAAACTTGGCAAAAGTTTGTATGTATTAATTTTCTATTTGTTGTAACATTACCACACATTTTGTGGCTTAAAACAACAAAGTTAATTCTCTTACAGTTCTAGAGGCCATAAATCTAAAACTTGTCTCAGTAGGTTAAAAGCAAGGTGTTGGAAGGACTGGTTCCTTCTAGAGGTTCTAAGGGAGAATGTGTTCTCTTGCTTTTTCCAACTTTTAGAGCTGCTTCCCTTGATATCTGTGAGCTGTTGACCCCTCTTCTGTCTTCAAAGCCAGAAGTATGAAATTCCAAATGTGTCTGCCTTCATCATCATATAGTTTTCCCTCTCTTGGACATCATTGTGTCCACCTAGATGAGCAGGATAATCTCCCCATCTCAATTCTTTAATATAGTCATATATGCAGAGTCCCTTTTGTTCTATAAGGTACCATATTCACAGATTCCAAGGATATTCAGCATAGACTTCTTCAAGGGCTATTACTGACCCTGCTATAAATAATATGCCCCCCACCAGCTACTTTTTCCCAATATAAGATCCCAGAACAACAGATATGTGAGGAATGGCTCAGGCTAAGCATTAGAAGTTAGAAGTCTTTTTTCAGGCTAAGCATTAGAAGTTAGAAGTCTTTTTTCCTATTGATTCAGTCTACTTTAGCACAAGCTATTTGGTGGGAAGGATTTTTTTTTTTTAATTTTTATTCTTTTTTGATATACATGACAGTAGAATATACTTTGACATATACATACATGGAATATAACTTCCTGTTTTTGTGGTTATACATGATACGGAGTTTCACTGGTAGTATATTCATATATAAACATAAGAAAGTTATGTCTGATTCATTCTGCCTTTCCTAATCCCATCCCTGTCTTCTCTTCATTCCCCTTATTCTAATCCAATGAACTTTTTTTCTTCCCTCCACTCCCTTATTGTGTGTTAGCATCTGCATATCAGAGAGATCATTCAGCCTTTGGTTTTGGGTATTGGCTTATTTCACTTATGATAATCTCCAGTTCCATACATTTATTGGCATTTGCCAGTAATATTACATTGTGTAAATATACCACATTTTCTTTATCCATTCATCTGTTGAAGGGTACCTGTGTTGGTTCCATAGTTTAGCAATTGTGAATTGAGCTGCTGTATACATTGATGTGGCAGTGGCACTATAGTTTGCTGATTTTTAAGTCTTGAGTATATGGGTTGAGGAGTGGGATAGCTGAGTCAAATGGTGGTTCCATTCCAAGTTTTGAGTCTCCATACTGCTTTCGAGTGGTTACACCAGTTTGCAGTCCTACCAGCAATGTATGAGTGTACCTTTTCCCCCCAACATCCTCACCAACATTTATTGTTACCTGTATTCTTGATAATTGCCATTCTGACTGGACTGAGATGAAATCTCAGTGTGGTTTTAATTTGCATTTCTCCAATTGCTAGAGATGTTGAACATTTTTTCATGTACTTGGTGACCAATTGTATTTGAGCTATTATTTCAAACAATAGAGAAAGCTACATATAGCATGCGTTTGTTTAAGCTTTGGAAAATACATACCATGTCAGGAGGATAAAAAATTGAAGACATGATAAGTAACTTATAGACCAATTGGGAAGATAATTATACATGAAAAATATATAACTTAGGTATTATACAGTATAGCAAAAGGCTGGTAGCTTTTAGAAAGGGAATTCCAAGAATCGTGGGAAAGATTTTAATTGATTCTCAAACTTTAATATGTATGAGTTACCTAGAAGGCTTGTTAATCATATGTTGCTGGGGTTCATCAGTTTCTGATTTGGTAGGTCTGGTATGGGGCCCAAGAATTTGCATTTGTAAGTTCTCAATGCTGATGCTTTGGAAACAGGTTCTACTCTTGAGAACCAGTGATGTAAGAAAAGACACGTGGTGGTAAAAATTTGGTTTAAGGAATAATGGATGGAAGACATTGTTGGAAGAATTGTGGCATGAACTTGGAAAAGTTATTTAAAGCCCTATTTAAAATGCAGTTTGGGCCGAGAGACCACTAAATTTTTTAAACAGAAGTTATGTATATGACCAGATCATTTTATACTTTTAAAGAAAACTAGAAATGATTTTCTTCAACTCTCTGATGTTATATCCCCACCCAAAAAGCAGGAAACTATAAATGGCTTATATATTGACTTTTGATAACATCCTGTTTTCCAAATAAATTCAAGATTATTTGACTTAAGTGTCTTGTATGCAGCAAGTTTTCTGCATAAATGATAATCATTTTTAAGGGGGTATGTATATAGTCATCATGTCAGATATACGTAAGAATTTGAGAATAATCTGAAAAGGCAATTGGATATGACAAGCTTATAAGCAGAGTAAAAATCTCAATTCTCAATAATGCATTGACATATAAGG